TATATATGCAAAATTGTGATATTCAATATTAAATTTCTCATAAACAGTATGACAAATTGCATAATGCTTTAACTATGAATGTTTTTCATTGCAATAATGTTATTAAATTTTGTATAGGTTTAAACATTTTGGTTTAGATGAATAAACTCCTTAATTTCAACATCTGAATTCCTACCAATATAATAATCTCCACAGACAGCTGTAATTCGAAAATGGTTTATTCCAGTCCTTCCTAAGTAAGACAGGACATAACTTCCAGGCTTCCTGTCACTTTCACGGACCAGATAACTACCCATTTTACTCGCATCCCACAGTCTTTCCTCTGCTGTAAATCTATCTAATCTACCATGATACCACCTGCAAAAGATCCATCCTTCCAGTTTGATTTTAATTCTACAACTACGAGTGTACTGCATTTTGCAATCATATAATAACTCATATTTGTGTGCATATGTATATGCTGTGTGTTTTGCACCAACATTAAATTTTACTTTAGAAATATATCTTTATAAAAAATTAATAGACTATATATATTCTCAGTCTCACTGATTTTCTGGTGGTGCTGTTAACAGAGTAGCATTGGCGCCATCAGGTTCTTCTGTGTCCTGTATATCGTCTGGTATATTTTCAAGGAAAGGATCAAATTCATTTTCTGCATTTAATGATTCATTCTGACCGCCGTCTTCGCTTCCTGTACTGGGAGATCCGCCTTTACTATTATGTTCCATCTAAAAATTCATTCATCCAATAAGACGTCTTGTTCGTTCTGTGTTTCGGCGTTCACCTCTGTGTCAAGCTGTCAGCGATTCGACTCACTTTGACACATGTCAAAGTTAGTCAACCGGCGGTCAATCTCACCGGCGCAAAATTTTAAAATTACACCAGCGGCGTAAATTCTTGCGGAGCAAACAAAATCGACACGCGAAGTCATGCATCTCTCATTGTCGCGACGCGACGCACGGACTTATTCAGGGAATTGGGAGTATCGCTGGCCGACGCCGATAACGATACACCGCGAGATAAATTGCGGTTGTCGGCACGTAAATACAAGTGCGCGCGCGGACGAAACGATAAGGGAAGCGCAATAAATAAATGAGGGCCGCGAAAAAAGCTGCGCCGATGCGATTGCGACGCGTCGCTCGCGCTGCCCGCGACGTCACGCTAGCCCGCAACGATGTCGCGCGACAAAGAAAACGACGGACATGCGACGGCCGGAGGATGAATAATGCCTCTCGCACGTACCTTGGCATTGTTGGACACGCTGGGCCCACCGCGCACGAATTCTGCCATCCCGACACACGTACACTCTCATACACGCGATCGCGAGGAACCCCGGCTCATCAGTCGAACGACATGCGCCCTTAAAGCGCGACGTCTCCTTGCGCCGCGATTATTTACAAAGATAGGCTCTTATTAATATAAAATGTATTGACGTTTCCCGGCAGCCATTTTACTATTGCACGCGCCGACCACGATGTGTGAACTTTCGAGAGGAACGTTATCTCAACACTGAGAACCAACAGAGGCAACCGATAGTGTCGCGACAATCACGAAAACTTATACACAGCCGCGAATCTCTAGATGCATTTATGCCTGTTTCTACCAACTTTGGTTAATTTAACCAGTCGATGGTTCTAACGGAATTAACCAATCGCATTTCTCTTTAGTCAAAATTGATAGATGCAATTGGTCAATTCCATTGGAATAATCAGCTAGTTAAGTTAATTGAAGTTAATAAAAATAGACATTGGCCCATATTCTGAATCCTCTTTTAAGCCAGCGGTACACGATGCTTGTTTTCATGCTGGTTTGCTTGCTGGATGGAAATATTCTGTTCTGATTGGTGTATTTCTAAAGATGGATGGAAATGCACTAATCAAAATGAAATATTTCCATCCAGCACCGTGTGCCGCTGACTTTATTTATAAAAGTGCCTCTAAAAGAGGTTTAGGAGCCACCTGATTGACTGAGAAGCTACATTTAAAGCACTTTTATCGATAAAAGAGGATTCAGAATATAGGCCAATGGGTGCGTTCAGCGAACTCAACAGTTGCACAACAGTTGAGCAATTTGTCAATGGGCGCATTCAGTAGAAAAAGCGCTCAGTGAGCAATCAACGATTATTGGTTCTTGCTATTAGATCCCTAAATCTAGACCAATTACATTGACAAATTACTCAACTGTTGTGCAACTGTTGAGTCTGCTGAATGCAGCCAATGGGTGCGTTCAGCGAACTCAACAGTTGTACAACAGTTGAACAATTCGTTAATGTAATTGGTCTAGATTTAGAGATCTAACAGTAAGAACCAATAATCGCTGATTGCTCACTGAGCGCTTTTTCTGCTGAACGCGCCCAATGTAATTGATCTAGATTTAGAGATCTAACAGTAAGAACCAATAATCACTGATTGCTCACTGAGCGCTTTTTCCGCTGACCGCACCCATTGGGCGTGATAAATCCCTAAATCTAGATCAATTACACTGAGTACGTTCAGCGAACTCAATAGTTGCACAATAGGGCCTTTAGAGCGCCGTCCCACGGAGCGGAAATTTTCAGCGGAACGGAACGTGCGGAGTTAGCACGACCAATCACAGCTGTTCTGCTTTTCTTCCGGCGCTTTTTCTATTTTCCTTGTGTCCCATGAAGCGGAATACGCGGAAGCAGATCACGTGGAATAATACAAAAAGTAGACTTTTTAATGTTATTTCTTACGTTTTTAATAATTTTAATATTTTATACATGATATAATATATCAATTAGTAAATATATCAATTAGTAAAGAATAAAATTAGTTTCTCAGTAAAATACTTTTTACAAAAATATGCAACTATTTTACGATTAGCTAAAACATAATTCCGCTGCCGCGTTTATCGCTTCATGGGACAGAAGGAAAAGTATATCAGCGGAATTGCGGTGATATATAGTATAATAAAGTGAGATCTGTTGTGATTAATTATGGAGAATATATTATGTGATTTTTGTCGACTGT